ACCTAGAGGACCCACCCGAGGCATACACGAACCCGAGCGTCCACTCCCGCATCAGTGAGTACACTGAGGTGGCGAGGTCGCTCCATGGGTCAGACCATGATCCGAGCACCCAGGACTTCGATGGAGAGGCCATCATGAGGGCGAGGCAAGGCAAGAAGCATAGGCGGTTCTAGCTTGGCGACGGCGTTATCGACACAGCCTCTACTCCCTCTCTCTCCCAGATCCGAGCACGGAGCACGAGCGAGAGTCCAGCCATTCGCACACGGCTGACCGCTGCACAGCACCGGGTCGACGCACTCGAGGTTATTCCTGTTTTACTCGTCATACATTGATCTTTACACACCTTAATTAGCTTTGCATTACTGAAACATTTGAGTGAAATATTGCAGGTCCGGCTGGAACAAAAAATGAAGGAACGTCAGGAGCTAGGGGCCCAGCGGGAGGCCGAGCGGTAGGCCTAGGCGCAGAGGCTGATGGACATTACGGATTTCCTACAAGGGCTTGGGCAACGTATGGGCTTATCTCTGCCACCTGGGCTGTTGGTTCCACCTCCGCCTCCGCGTCCTGCAGCTACAGCTACTCCTGTGAGTATCAAAGTTTTTTACTTTCGCTTGTGCTTTGCTTGTATGGCCTCTATCGTCCTAGATTAGCTATTAAAATAATCTTGTCTCATATGCAATCTTTTCTCCTTTGTGCAGTCTCCATCTGACGGTGGTTCGAATAATCCACCTCATGCACCTATGAATGATGCATCTGGGCCTTCACCACAGTCGCAGTGGTCGAGATGAGTGCATGCTGTATTTTTTACATTTATTGTTCACTTGGTGATGTACTTGTGATATACTTGTGATGCACTTGTAGACTTTGATGGACTTGTGGACTTATTTGGATGGACTTGAGCACTTATTATTATATATTGTGATGGATGTGATATGGGCGGATGGATGTGTGGATGGATGAGATATATATGCGATGGATGAGATATATATGTGATATATGTTTGTATGAATGTATTTGTCATGATGGAATGCAAAAAAAAATTACCGTTTTGGGTCACTTTGCCGAGTGTTGCACTCGGTAAAGGACCCCTTTGCCGAGTGCAATGGCCACAACACTTGGCAAAGCTGGAAAAATGGGTGATCAGAAAATAGATTTTTCAGTTTTGCCGAGTGCTATGACCATGACACTCGGCAAAGAAATTAAAAAAAATTAAACTTTGCCGAGTGCCGGCCATAGGGCACTCGGCAAAGAATTTAAAAAAAAATCAAAACTTTGTCGAGTGCCACTCATTGGGCACTCGGCAAAGAAATTAAAAAAAATTAAAAAATCTTTGCCGAGTGCTTTCCGGTTTGACACTCGGCAAAGAAATTTAAAAAAAATGAAAAACATTTGCCGAGTGCGCGATGGCTAGCACTCGGCAAAGATTTTTTAAAAAAATAAAAACACTTTGCCGAGTGCCTATATGGTTGGCACTCGGCAAAGAATTTTTTTTAAAAAAATTAAATCTCTTTGCCGAGTGCCTTACACGTTGGCACTCGGCAAAAAATTTTTTTAAAAAAAATAAAAAATCTTTGCCGAGTGCCTCACGGGTTGGCACTCGGCAAAGAAATTTTTAAAAAAAATTAAAAAAATCTTTATCGAGTGCCTCACGGGTTGACACTCGGCAAAGAAATTGTTAAAAAAATTAAAAAAAATCTTTGTCGAGTGCGCGCGGGGTTGGCACTCAAAGCAAGTGACCGATAAAGAACACCTCCGTGTTTAAAGCTTTTCTTTGCCGAGTATCCGATAAAAGACACTCGGCAAAGAGCGCTTTGTCGATCAGATTTTTGTCGTGTGGTCTTTGCCGAGTGCAATTTGGCCTCAGGCACTCGGTAAAGAACCTGAATTCAGTAGTGGTACGTACGCCGAGGCTGTATTTGGAGGACAGATTGACGGAAGCGCGCCTATGTATATACAGTGAAAGGATTATGATTCTGATCGATCCTACTACGAGTATTGTTTAGAATGCTGGACTCTTTATATTACCAAAAACAGTTTCCAGCACATTTAAGCCTGCGCAAAATACACGATACCCATTACCCGAACCCGAATTACCCGAACACGAACCCGAGGTATCCGATCCCAAATTCGGATAGCGATTTTGATTATCCGAAATTAGTTTGGGTAATTCGGGTAATATTCGCCGGTACCCAAACTAGCCGAACTACCCAAACATTTGTATTTATCATGTGCTGTTAGTTGAACACCTGAACTTATCACTTTATTAGAATATAATTCTCTCTGTTTGAACAAGTGATTGTAATACATTATTTTCTACAAAATGCTATTGAAATTCTATATAAATTGCTGTTGAAATTATATATAAATTGCTACTAAGTATTTATGTAGTTTGCTGTTTTTTTGTAAATTCGGGTATATCGGGAATACCTGAACCTGAACCCGAATTATCGAGTACCCGAAATTATGGGTAGTGTTTTTTCAGGACTAATATCAGGTAGCAGTTTTCATTACCTGAATTTTGAATTACCCAACCCGAAAAAATCGGTAACCCGAATGCCCAGGCCTAAGCACATTGATTAGGTGAGGTTGGCCAAGAAATTCCATATACACGGAGGTCAGCGGACCTGGAGATAAACCCTGCACCACGCCTCCATGCAGACCCACCTTAGATGGAAGCCATATGTCCCAAAAAGTATATCACACGGTCAGAGGTGGTTGGCTCAGGCTAAAACTTCAGTGGGCCTCTTGGCAACTGCGAACTCTACCACCCCTAGCCCTGTGTTGGGCTTTTTGGGACACGTGCCTTCCATTCATGGGCCTTTTGGGACATGTACCTTTCATTCAAGGTGGGTTTGCACGGATTCGACAGCGGCAGTTTTGTCATTCTGTGCACGGTCGCCACCGGCCCTTCCCTATAAGTTTCCTTTGCTTGCATTGCATGCAAACCGTGATAAGTGTTGAATTCTTGCTAGCTATGGCTATTTCAAGGACAACTGGAACTCATGGATGAGGCGAGGAGGGTGCAGCATGTATATGTAGCTTAGGTTTTTGCTCTCACCGTGGATGGCCATTGTTGAGGAAGACATTTGTTGTTGCTGCCTTGCTGGAATGTCATATGCCCTTCTCTCAAAGGCGCACCTCTTTAAATGTGTATCCTCTCCTCTAAGGGTCTGTTTGGAAGAGTTTCAGCAGATCTAGATAAAAAAAATAGCTCTAAATCTATATTTTCAAGCCAAACACTTTGAGATTTAGCGGATCTACCATTGAGCAGATCCACGAAATCCATGGATCTGCCTCTAGATTCATGGATATCGTGGATCACCTCAAGGGTGGCAGGCAGGTTGGCAACATTGAGTAGATTCATCTCGAGGTTAACAGAGCGAGGGTTACCCTTCTTTGAGGTCATGCGGAGCATAGAGCCATTCAACTGGGCCCGACCTAGCAGACAACCTTCAGGGACCTCAAGAGCTACCTCTTGGGCCTCACCACTCTCACTAGCCCGTTGTCCGATGAACCACTCATCCTATACATAGCAGCTTCCACCCTCGGCAGTGAGTGTCGTTCTCATAAAGGAGAAAGAAGAACATCAACGAAGGCAACTTGCAATCTACTTCGTCTCAGAAACACCATGCCCACGCCGTTTTTGTCATTGGAGTCACCGCTTGCGGCCTGCCGGACCAATTGGGCTGCCCAGATCTGCCGCTCGCAGCATGTCCTACGTGCGAGGCCACCAACTCCACATCCGTCGGTTGCCCTCGCAGATCCAAACACAGAGCAAAATCACAAGGTGATTCAACAAAGAGATAATAGAAGGAGGGGTCCACATCGAAGACAAAGGATGAGATAGAGATCGACCTCTCTCACCCGCACGCTGCTGATGCGTCGCATCTGCACCACTACCCCGCGCGGGCCTGGGCGCTACCACCCCGTGTGACCTCATGTGCCACCGGCCCGTGCGCCACTGGCCTCGTGGCTCGGGGTGTCACTACCCCGCGCGACATCGCGCTATTGCTACACGTGGCCTTAGACGCCACCGCCTCACGCTCTGCCTCACGAGTCAGGGAGAGAAGGGGAAGGGGGGTGGGAGTGAGAGAAGCGGCGTGTGGAAGAGAGGAAGAGAGCTAGAAGAGAAGGGAAGTGTGAGGGGACAGAGAGGGAGAGCGCCTAGGAGATAGAGAGGGTTGTTCGGACTTCAACTCCCTAGAGTTAAGAGAAGTTATCTTTAATTTCGGGCTCGAGATCGAAGTCACTGCTAGTTGGTTATGCAACTTGACATTGATACTATTACTATCAGGTTATATTACCAAGCAACGGTGATAATTATCTATTGCAGTGATAGTATTATTGCTCATAAACCGGCAGTGATACCTTATCACTGTCGGTTGACAGTGATTGTTTGCTCTGGCATAGTGGGTGACCTACTTATCATAGGACAACCCTGCCGTGCTCTGCCTGATGAGCCTTTCCCGGAAGTGCTTGTGGGGGTTTCGAGTGAAAAAACAGTGCCAAGAAAGCCTAACTTACCCTGGTTGGCCTTATTGTTTACTGGGTAGCCTTGGCCGATCAAGGTTCTTGCTTGCTGCTGTGTGACTAAAATCCGCGTGAACATTAACGATTACAAATTTCGATGAGCAGTGACGGTTGCTGAACCACTTGGGAACAGCGTGCCAATTAACGTTCACTACTGGAAACTACAAATTTCATGATGGTTTTATTTTTTTGACGCTTATTGAAAAGACACACATGATTTTCTTGCCATCAGAATTTCTCTTCAATCTCGCAAATGGTTTTGAATTCGTTCCCGATCTTTCACGCCGTCGGAGCCTGCAGTTCTCAGCTGTCTAGCCGTCGAATCTGTTAGCTGGACTTGGAGGATGATGTCTCGATTGTCAATTGTGAAAATCTGGGAGGCTTGTGAATGAGTGCGTGGTTGCGAGCTTCCATTAATGATTATATATTGTGCGGATTCCTAACACATTTGTTAATATAATTTTCTATGCTCAGTTCATCCTCGAAACGAACGGCAGGTCGTCATCAACATCCTCCGACTGCTGCTCCCTCCTCCTGCACCCCCAGCGGCAGCTCCAGGCGCACCTAGAACTGAAAACGGCTAGCTCCTTAGAGTGCGTGGACATGATCCGGGCAGTGGCCGCCGCCCTGGGAAGCACCACGCCGTAGCCATCGTCCATGTAGTCGGTCCCCTCCGGGAACACCTGCCAAAGCAGGGCCCCCGCTCCGGCACCGCCACGCCGCGTCGAATCCAGGAGCTGCCCGTACACCGCCTGGATGAGCTGGTCTCTCGTGGTCGCGTTGAAGACGCTCGTCCGGGCCTTGGTGGACGCCCCGAACTCCGTGAACACCACTGGCATGCCTAGCGTGCCCTCGGCGTCGGCGATGTGCGCCTGCATCCACGAAGCCACAAACTTGAGCTGTGCCTCCAGAGTCGCGCCCGGCATCCAGGTGTCTGGGTAGATATGAACGGAGGCGAAGTCGACGCCCAGGACGCGGTGGTTGCGGATGAAGTCGGTGCCGACCTGGCCGGCATAGGTGTTTGGGTTGGCCGGAAGCCGCGCCGGCGACGAGGGGCCGTAGAAGCCCTCCGCGCCGACTTCTAGCAGGTGATCCGGGTCGATGGACTTCACGTGGAACGCCATCTCTTGGATCCACTCCTGCAGCTTGTTCCCGGTTGGATCCGACGTGCAGCGCGGCTCATTGATGAGCTCCCACGCCAAGATGGTCGGGTCGTCCTTGTACATCACGCTCGTGTACGTGTTCAGCCTCGTCAGCATGTTCTTGACGTGGTTCTTAAAGTAGCCCTTCACGGTTTGGTCGGAGAAGAAGTCATCGTCGGAGGTGATGTTGAGGCCGCCGTCGTCCCTGGCCCATTTCACGTACTGCGCCTTGCCGCCGTAGCCGTCCCAGTTGTTGACCAGTGACAGTATAAGCCTGATCCTGTGCTTCCTTGCCTCGCTCACCACGAAATCCAACACCTTCGTACGTGTGCGTCCAGAAACAAGCAAATCCATTACATATGTCCAGCATATATGGAGGTGTGATACAAAGTGGGTGGCTATGAATCGGGATGGAAAAATGCATGGAGCAATTGATACGTAAAGTCTATCACAAATAATTAAGTATCACATGAGGGTTGTGTTAGAATATAGGTAAAATTTGCTCAGGGGCATCGAAGGGAATGAATGTGGTATTTGTTGATCGACAGCGCCAACTCAGAAATTTGTCTAGTATACCATTATGGAAGTATGTATCTTTGTCATAACACATCATACCGATTATTTTAATAATTTCTCGTATCTACGGGAGAGGTGGGAGAAATGACCTTTTTATCCTTATCTTCAACTTCCGTTGGTTCTGAGTGGTCTTCTCCGACGGCGTAATGGATGGGGGCGACGAGGCTGCCAGCAGGGCAAGCCAGCCACAAGCGGGGGCGAGGAGGCCAGTGGCGGGATTAGGCGGGGAGGCTAGCGGCATGGCAATTCGGTCATGGGCCCCAATGAGTTGGGGGCCATCACCGGAGCTCGTAGAAAGGAGCAGGGTGCGGGCCAACCATGGGTTGGGGCAAGTAGGACAACGCAGGTGGGCTAGCAACATGGAGAGGGAGGTGAGGTCGCCGGTGGGGAGGGCTAGCTGCGGGCAGGGGCAAGGACTGAGGAGGCCAACAATGAGGCAGGCCAACAACAGTGCGAGGACATGGAGGCAGACAAGGACATGGAGGCCGGATACAACCACTCTGAACCGACGTAGGTTGAATACACGGGTAGAAAGGTAGTTTCTCCCACCTCCTCTCTCTGCGCATATGAGAAAATAAACATAATCGAAGCGGTTGTGTTATGATAGAGATAACACAGTTTCATAATGGTATTAGGTACATTTTCAAGTTTGCGGTGTCCTTCAGGAAATACTATGATTCTCTGATGTCCTTGAGCAAAATTTCTAGAAAATGAAAGAAAATAAAGATAAACAATATTGTTTAGTAGTGAACCCTAATTTTATACTTCCTTCGTCTCAAAATAATTGCATATACCACCTTTCGAGGAGTCAAACCTTTTAAAGTTGACCAAATATATATAAAATATACTAAAATTTATGATGCATAATAAGAAGCATTATATTACTAATATTACGACATAGAAATGTTCGACCACACATATATATCATCTCACCTTGAAGACATCCTCGTCATAGACAGATGGCGACTTCTGAAGCGCCCTCCAGGCACCGTCGTTGAAGCCCCACGAGCGGCACACCGTGAGGCCGACCGCCGCCGCCTGCTGGAGCACCTCGGTGACCTTCCCCCTGGTGGACGGGTCGACGGCGAGGATCATCAGCCAGTACGCGTTGAAGCCGTTCACGTAGAACGGCCGATCGCCGACGACGAACTGGTTTCCCCTGGTCTTGACCATCCGCCACTGCTCATCGATCACCTCGCTGCTGCTTGCACTGTGGTACGCAAGACATGTGCGCCATGCATGCTCGTTAAGATCATAAACTCATCGCGATCGAACTAGAACTGCATGGTCAGATGCAATAACTAGAGATACACAGTTTGATGAGATACCCGTTGACGTTTGGTCTCCGTGCAAGCGTATCGACATCAGCGCCGCCGAGTATCTCCACAGGTGCGGGATCTACATGGGCATGCCTCCCATCTGTCAGCAGAAAAATGGCAGCTGCGGCCACCGCAAAACGGCGGACAAAGAAATGGATCAGAGAGACTCTTGCTCTTGCTCTCCCCTTGAACACAGTCTCCATGGTCGTTGCAACTTAACCATGCATATGAATACACATCACATAGCAAGGACGATCGAGTTAAACTAATATGGTCTTCGATTCTTGTGTGTAACTTGAGTATATATACTTCAACCACATATAGCAGTATATATAAAACGAAGGTGAGATCGATACATATGAGACGTGTGTTTGCTGAAACACATAGGCATAGCTAGTGTGATGGAGACGTGTTTTGATATTGGCTTGGAAGCAAGAAAAGAGAGTAAGTGCTGGATTCTAGCTAGGAGCAAGCAACCAGAGGTAGCTGACATTCACACACTTTGGTTGGGTCAAGGTTTGAAGCAAAAGGAAGAGGTCAATTCAGGTCCAGGAGGACGGACAACACAAGGCTGGAGCGGGAGCGAAGTGGCTTCAAAGGCTGGTAGCGTGGCGTAACAAAGCAAGCTTCATGGATATGGACCTTGATTGATTCCATGGACCACGATTTCAAGCTTGGATTGGTCCGGACTCTCCCTTTAAGCCGGCTCCTCCTTCTAGCCCAAATAGAAACCGGCCCACAGAACAATCCGTGTTCTGCTCTCGAGCAGAGACGGCAACATGAAAACCACCATAAAAAAAACACACAAAACTTTAAGGATGTGTTTGGTTTCCTGCCTTAGCTGGAGCCTGGTTAGGCTGTCGCCAACAAGCCAACATGGGTGTGTTTAGTTGGACTGCTATCTCTGGCCTGGTTTTCATAAGAGTTTGTTTGGTTGCTTGTTTTATCTAGGATAGAATCACCACATCTTTAGCCTGGCATGGTTACCTCCTTTGAAGCATTCTATCGAACAGTTGATTGATCACCTCCATCTCACAGTGAACTGAAGAATAATTCTCCACCAGAATGCGACTTTGCTAGTTAGGCGGACCAGATAGCTACGATTGATATATGGGTCCAAAGATCAGCCATACTAGGGCGGTTTTATTGATATATGGGTCCAAAGATCAGCACATCAAACTAGGGGTCCAAAGATCAGTTTACTAGGGCGGTTTTTAGTTCCCCAAACTCCCAACTTTGGCACTATGTAAAAAGAAGATTCTCCGTCACATCAAACTTGTGGTACATGTATGGAGTATTAAATATAGATGAAATCAAAAACTAATTACACAGTTTAGTTGAACTTTGCGAGACGAATCTTTTGAGCCTAATTAGTCAATGTTTGGACAATAATTCATAAATACAAACGAAATTGCTACAGTGTTTGCCGTCACATCAAACACTATGCAAATGCCGATTCCGGCCGAACTAAACAAGGCCCAGCTTCCTCCACAACGTCCTTATCCCCAATCCCCACCGGCAGCCCATGTCGAGTGGCGCGGTCCGTGAGCCGTCTCTGCTACAGGCTTCATCGCCGGCGCCGCAGCAGGACCGAGGCTCTGCTCCTCCCCCGCCCTCGGCATGGACCGAAGCTCTGTTCCTCCTCTGGCCGCCATGGCACACGAGCCTTGCTCCTCCTCCGCCCTCGCCATGGCGTCTGAGGCTCTGCTCCTCCTCCGCTCGTCTCTAGTCTACCCGTCGCAGAGACGCAGACTCCGTGTCGCAGTCCACCTCTCCGCCAAGCCACCAACGGTGGCCGCCTACCCCAGCACGGCTGCGCACCCTCCGGATCCGCCCTTGCTCGTGCCTCGTGCTGGCGTGGCCGTCGGTTGTCGCCCTCCACCTCCACCCTCGGTGCTCGGCCGTCCAGCGGGAACGGCGCAGCAGCGCAGGCGCAACGGGCGCTCGTCGCTCGTCAAGGGCGGCCTCCGGGGCAGGCCAGGGAGGCCGGGGCGCAGCACAGGAACCCGCCGCCGGCCGGCTGCTCAAGCCTCAATGGCGGATCTACAACCGGTGCATGGGGAGCAGGACCGCCGCCGGTGGAGGGGAGCAGGGGAGGAGGACGAGGAGCTGGTGGAGTCGAGCGAGCATGAGAGCAACGACGCACGAGCGAGGAGGAGCAGCGGCGCACACCGCACGGGAGGGAAGTCGGGAGGTGAAGCGAACCGCTAACGTGGCTTGGCCAAGCCAGGCCCCAGAAAAAAGGATCGCGAATCCGTTCTTTCGTGAGGCATTGAGCTATGTGCCATTATAAAAGTTTATAATTATCCATAAGTCATGAAAAAGTTTAAGCAGTCATAAGTGCCAATGATCAGAACTTTTTTACCCTCGATGCCATTCCCGTCATTTTCTGTTAGTTTTCAACAGTTTGACCATCCTGACATGTGGGTCCAGCTAGTTAAATGTCCAGAATGCCCCATCTTGTTTATAGCCGGCTACCCTATCCTCTGCAGGCCCTCATCAGGAGCGGCAACTGCAGAGCCCAGTGGCTCCTCTGCAGCGGGCGGCGGGCAGCCGAGTCGCGTAGGGCGGTGCGGGCATGTGGCTTCAAGGTCGTCTTCTTCCTTGGCTTCACCGGACGGCAGCTCCCGCGTCGACACCGGCTCCCATGACCGCACCGTACCTCGCCGCAGGACCTCCGTGGCGTGACGGTGCCTTTGCCGAGAGGATCAGCCCCGGCGTCTGCGTCCGCGACGGACAGCACCTGGCGCATGCGCGGATGCGGCTTCATGGTGCAGTCGCAGTAGTTCTGTGGGAGCTCCGGTGGGATGTGCGACGCCTCGGTGACGATTTGTCGTGGACACCCTTCCCTACCCCCATCGTCAGCCTCCGTCGCCGGTGTCATCATCGAGTAGGCGCCTGTCCAAGGCTTGGATCGCATTCGTCGGGGTGGTGATGCACTGATGCTGGAGTCACTGACGGGGCGGCACGCCAGCTTCAAGGATGCAGAGAGCGGGAGCCCCACGGCCGCTTCTGCACGCTGCGCAGCCTCGGCTGCTTCATCGCCACGGCGCGCACATGCCGCTGATGGTGCTGCTTTCGGCCAGCGACTTCGATCTCGGCGCCATATGGATGCTGGTTTCACGTACTCGACACTCGCAGCGGGCACCTCCTTTGTAGCGGGCGGCGTGGTGCCGGTCAGTGCCCCTTCTCGCCGGCCTGTGCATCGCTAGCTGCCCTCCAGATGCGGCTTTGGTCGCCGCAGACTCGGCTCCTTTTCGTCACAACGCGACGCGTTCGGACACTTCGGGCGTTATGGGCGAAGGAGCAGTTGCATTTTTTTTTTGAATTTAAGGAGCTGTTGCATTGATGATGAAGAAGTTGACGAACGCGTCGTCTCTACGGCCGGGCGGCCGACTTGCACAGGTTGCATATATGTGTACATGCTTCTATTAACTAGACGCATACCTATATATACGTACATGATATACACATGCAACTTGCTAGCATGTTTCTTCTGGCACACCTCACGTACGTAGGCGATTAGTTCAAGCATCCTCCCTCTTTTCTTTATAGGGCAAATACATGAATGCTTATACATTCTGGTTACTAGCTAGCTTATTGTATTGTTAGTCTGTGATCAACACCCCCCGCAAATAAATATAGACGACGCCATGTATAGTGACCGCCTGTCTGGTGGGCTCTCTTTCTTAAATGAGTTTGAGCTCCATTACGTATTTTGAGAAATATAATAATATATATATATATATATATATATATGCTTCGTACATGCAATGCAAGTTCCTGCTAACACTATATAAGTAAACACTAAAAAAGATTATTGTAATGTACTTTGTCCCTTAGCTACAATTTTTTGTTGTGATGTCTTATGCTAAAGTTCTATACAATTTTCATTTTTTATCAGGTAGTACAAGTACTCGCTTTCAAGGATGACGGACACGACGCTCCTCGTCCAACCGAACGCTCTCCTGCTCCATCCTCAATTTGGCGCCAAAACACTCAACCAACGAGTGGCGCGGGAGAAAAATGAAATTTTAGCTTGCTTTTCTAGTCTGAGGGTATTTAAGTCTTTTTTAGCTCAGTTTGACACCGTTAGCATCCAATGTGGACGGAATGGCGTGGAGGGTAAAAAAGTTTCGACCAATGGCACCTGTGACCGCTCAAACTTTTTAATGACTTGTGGGTAATTATAAACTTTTATAATGACACACAGATAAAAGCCTCTTCGTGAGTAACCTGGCCAAGACGCGTACGGAGGCCAGGGTTGGCCTGGCTAAAGCCCAACAACAGGCAACCAAACAAGCCCGAGTTGGCTCCAGCAGACCAGGCTAAGGGTTGGACACCCAACCAAACAGGTCCTAAAGCACCACCAAAAGCCATACAACAATTGTGGGAAACAAGCTTAGTATGGACTAAAGGGAGGAGGTTTTACACAGCTATGCTTCTAAAGAGTGAAACCATATTAACAAATACCGTCAATTTTGAACCACAACCGCCAAAGGAAAGGGGCCTCACGATAATGCCTCTAAACAAGGCGAGTATGGCCAAAAGCGTCACTATTGCCGGCCATAGCTAACGGCTCGTCAGAGCTTTTGCCCAAAAGCAACTCACTCCATTACAAGAATTAATGATTATATACCAATAAGCCTTCTTTGTAAGTTGATTAATAATATTATCACATCCATGTGGTAAATCTAATTAAAAACACATATATCATGCCCTCAGACCTTAAAGCTATTAAAGTAAATTCCACGGAGGTTCTTCTTATAGAACGATGGTTGCAGGTACTCATCAACTATATCTTGACACTAATGAAGAAAAAAAAAAGTGACTTCCTACAAATGCACAGAGAGAGGTAATAGTACTGATAGCTTGCACTAGGAAAATCTTAGGTTTTAGACCTTGACATCTACAGCCTGTTCGCTTGCTCGTATCTAGCTTATCAGCCAACGAACAATATTTTTTTCTCACACCAAACTAGCCAACAGTACTTTCAGCAATGGCTTATAAGCCAGACCAGCCCAAACAAACAGGGTGCTAAATGGACAACTAATTTTTGTGAGGCTAATAACGTTTTGTAGTGCATTGGGCTTGCCCTCATAGGTAATGATGTTTTTTTCTCACACAAAAGTGCAAAGTGCTCACTAGGGCATGCCGTGTGGCCAAAAAAGGAAACCTATAATAGCGTGTTTTGCTATGGTCA